GCAGGAACCCAAGGAAGTTGCAGCAGTCTTATGTCAGAGCACAAAGGTGTTTTGTTTTGGTTTGGTTGATTTTGTTTGGGTTTTGTTGTTGTTGTTTTGGTTTTTTTTTTTTAAATGCCTATGCAGAAAGTCTCATTAAATAGGGAAGGACAGGCAATCAGTTGAAACAGAAATCCCTCTTATCTTCCTGTGCAGAAAACCAGGCTTCTAAAGGACATCCCAGAGGGCTCTGAAACAGTTTAACTTCCTGAATCACAGTGCTCTTGCTAAGCAGAGACCTTATTTCCCAGCCTGAAATTTCGGATTTCTGCCCCACATGTGCCCTTCCTTCCTCCCCTGCTGCCACTCTCCCATCACTAGTGCCACATCCGTGCCTTGCCAGACACATGCAAGGTTCATCCTGGCAAGGGCTGCAGTGGGGGGCCCAGAGAGTTCATGGCAGGCTTCAAAGCAAGCAGCAAGCCTGACAGAAGACAGGAGCTGCAGCACCTCACACCTGCAGTGGGGAGGGCTCCCAGCTTCTGCTGCCCTCTAAACTTAATGGGAGTGAGAGTTATTGCTTCCTGCAGAGAAAAGATGCTGATTAGCTGTTGTCTATAGCACCCCACCTCTAATCAGAAGAAAAATACCATCTGGCATGGCACCCCTGGAGGGCTGCCAACCTTTGCAGTAAAATACGAAGGCAGGAGAAGGTCAACGTAAAGGAAAGGGAGCAAAGCAGGCAGAAAGATTAATCCCTGCCAGGTGGTGTCAGTCCAGGCACTGGAGCACAAAACTGGATGGATGAGCAAGCAGAGAAGAGTTCAAGAAGGAGAAAGAGCAAGAAGCAAACAATTCTCTGCAGGAGAATCATGGATGAGCCGAGGAGATACCAGACCTGGGCTCCAGACCAGCTCTAGAGTAGGATACACTTGAACCTCTCTTGATGGGTGTGTGCCCAGGCAGAATTTGCATCACTCTGAAGACCATCAGGGAGCAGAGACTCCAAGAACAGCAGTGGGCAAAAGCAGTTTAAAAGAAGGCAGCCCTAGGGGTGAAGCAAGGCTGGACGAGCCAGTGATGGGAGCACAGCTTAGCATTGAGTTGGAAGAGCACTTCTGAGGGTGTGCGTCCTTTGCCTCTCCCAGCAGCATCACATAGGGAGTATAAACAGGGCATCACTTGTCTTGGCAAGGTTTCAGACAGCTGGACACCAAGGTAGCCATCTCATGCTGAACACTGCCCTGGCATTGCAGGGGGTGGCCAGGGCTCTCCAGCTGTCTGAACACGTTCCCATGAGTGTGACCCAGTACAGAGGCTCTGCAGTGGATGCACACACCCCCAGCCACAGGTGCACAGAGCCAGACTCCACTGCACCACCAATACCACTGCTACTCCCTCTCCATGGGAAAACCCATCCCTCCCACAACTGCTTGCATTTCAGGCATCCTTCATGACACTGTTCACTGCTTGCTTCCTGCACCTCCTGGAAGGGGACAGGTTGTTCAACAACTTTATTGGCAACAATAACACGCACGTAGCTGCGTATCAAACAAAATCGGGGAGCTCAGCATCAAGGCAAGTGTGCTGCTCGACGTGAAGCTGCCTGCCTCTTAGCCTTGGGATCAGTGGTACCTTCTGACTCCAGGTGGTCCAGCCCATAGGTCACAGCAGTGCTGATCCTCCTCACAGATGGAAGTGCCGTCCTCCTGATGGAAGATGCCATTGATGCTGGAGTTACCAGGACCACAGTTCTGCTGGATGGCTCCTCTGTCTGTCCAGATTGGGTAGCAGACAGCTCACCAGGAGCTGGAAGAGCCTCCTCACTGGTGACCAGGACTGCATCTGTGAGATCTACAGAAAACAGCAGCAGTTTGACACAAGATTAAAACCCCCACCATTTAAGACAAAACTCCTTAATGAAAACTTAACTCCAAGTGGAAGAAGTTATTAAACTCTTGCCTCTTTCAAGATGTTTAAGTGACTCCACTGTAATGAAAGCTTCTCCCCTGGGACAGCCAGCACAGGAGGTTCCCCTTAATGAGAGCTCTGCTAGGTTTTACTTGCACTGCTTTGAAGACTGCTAGTCACCACCCCATAGCAAGATCAGAGCACAGACACACTGGATGAGATCTGAACTAAGTGACAGATCTAATTGCTTATTGGAAAGATAAAAATTAGTTGAACTTATAATTAAATCCCAGAAGCAAATGAATTAGTGGAAACTGCCAGAAGAGCCTTCTCTCTCTTAAAAGGAGACCTTAATTTAAGAGCTATAAGGCAAATTGTTTTCCTTTTGATGCCCTGCAATATAATAATTACCAGAGAAGCTGCCCAGCAGCAGTTCTATTACAGTGGTACCTACTACTACAGAAACACACTCCACCTCAATGTCAGCTTTGTGCTAAAGGAAGCCTTGCTACACTCCTGCCAAGATGACAGGCTCCTCCATGTACCTGCCAAGGTGAACACAGAACCTGCAGGCAGCAGCTGGATGAACACAACTGCTTAAAGCATTTTTGTATGGGGTACAGCAAACCTGATGAGAACTCGCCATTCCTCACTGAAGCGAGTATGAGTGCAGGTTTCCAAATCCAAGGGCTTGCTAGTCTGTTGTAAGAGGGTGTCCATCCCACCACCACTGGTCTCATGTTACCTTGATGAATAAGTTTTATCATTCAGACTGAGCATCAGCAACCTGTGACTGCCTTTGGCTCCAGAAGTAAGAGCTCTCGCTCCATAAATAAAAACCAGCTTAAATGTCTAAGGCTAAAAGTCAACCTGCTAGCAAGAACAGATGTGGGAAATTGGTTTGTTTTGGGGTAGTAATTTTTTTAATCTCTACTCCACTGTTCATTTGGGCAAAAAAATCATATGCTGGCATATTTCAATGCGGTGGATCTGGTGGCTTAGGCAGAAAGTAGTGTCAGACCAGGGCTAGAGGCAGCCTGCAGAAGGCTATTAAAAAAAGACACTTAAAACATGGATGCTGTGTGGAGAATTCAGCATCCAAGCACCAATACTGGTTTTGGATATACCATCGTGTGGAAATGAACCCACAGTCCTTGAAGCGAAACCCTACCTTCTACATCTGGAGTGTTGGTCACAGAGGAAGTACCAGTTGACACCAGCATCTGGGTGGCACTAGGAGCAGTCGGCATCTGGGTGTCCTCCCCACTGGTTTCCTGCAGAAGGCTTGGAGCTCCTGTTTCCTGGGCAGCACCAGGCACCACTGTCACAACTGAGAGAGCAGCATCAGCCTCCTGGGCAACTGCTGTCGCCTCCTGAATAACACCTACAGCAAGAACACACGTCAGGTCCAACTCACAGGACAGCCAACAGCAGCAGGGCAGATGTTTGAAGGAATACAACCCCATGCATGAGCATTTCCAGAGCCACAGCGCAAGCAGCAGGTCCTACCAGGCATCGTCAGGGCAGGGCAGCACGAAGGCAGACATGAGGATGTGCACAACAGGAATGGACGCAGCAGAACCGGTCCTCATTTTCTTAATTGCCCCTTGGGGACAAGTGGGCCATGGGAGAGCAACGCCATGGGAGCCCAGCACTGCAGACCCACGGTGTGAAATGGCATTCAAAGCAAGTGGTGCTGCCAGAGCAGTGCTTTTCCTGAGCAGCTCTCATGGCTACGAGACTCCAGCTTTGCAGAAGGCTTTATTTTTGTTGCACAACTCTTACTGATAGCTTTGTTTCCCCAACATCTGGGAAACAGCAGAGAGGGAACCTGCTGACAAGTCAAGTGCTTATAAATTAATCTAGAAATTAATCAGCCAGGTTTCAGCATCAGCATGCTATTAGCTTTTCCTCCACTACAGTAAACACTAGATCTTTCAGATGCAATGAGGGGAAGTTGTCCTTTTGCCTCTGCAGCCTAAGAGGCATGATTAAAGATGCCCAGCAATTAAAACAAAGCCCTAAACCCCAGCTCATCTTCCTCATCAGCCTAAGGTCATCGCCTAACACCTGACCAGATCTTCCCCTCCATTTTCACCAGTATTTAAAATCCTGTGTGGAAACACGGTCAGTGGGCTGAAGGTGAATTTAGGAAGCATTTACAGCCATCCACTGTCTCTGCATCTTCTGCACTGACTGCAAGTGTCCGTAGGTAGCAGTTGAGAGCCAAGTGACCCCAGATGCCAATTAATTTAATTATTCCCCACCTTTGGGTCCTTGAACTTGCAGTATCAAAGGGACACTCAGAGCAGTGTTATCTTTCCTAAAATCAAGTGCTTCACCAGTTGGTCAGAGGCTGGGCTCCCGCCCTGCTCACAGGGCAGTCATACCAGAGGTGCATTCAAAAGCAGATTTACATCTCTGAGATGATGAGATCTCTCACCAGGTGAGCGATGCCCCTGCTTCGGTCATACACAACACAATGCAGAACTTCACTAAGTCAATTCAATAAGTCTTTTTAACCAGGAGCAAGTTTTTGCTGCTGAGACTCCAATTCCCTACAGAGACATCCATGCTCACAAACACCCTTCAACCCCAGCCTCAGCTCTCCTGTTTGCTACTACAGCCACCCTCTCCCAGCCTGAGGAGCAGGAGAGGCAGCTCAATGCAGTTGCTTCACGACATCCAGGACAGGGGAGCACCCCACAGCCCACGTCTATCTGTACACAGAAACCTGATGTACAGGAACAGCCAGGGCCAGTCAGTGCTTTATGGGTGTGATTTACTCATTTTGGCTGTTACCTCTACACAAAGGTCCAGAACCTTTCCTGGGAGGGAGAAGGGGGTGTCTTATCTCTGGTGCAGGTATCAAGATCACCCCTTTCTCCATTTCATCTCCCTGAAAGGAAGCACAGGTTCCCAAGATCACCCCTCCTAAACCTACACTTAAAGGTAAGCATCTGTACCAGGCAAGTTTTACCTTTCCATGAGCTTTCCAGAGTAGGAGAAAGATCAGATTGTGTATCTGTCACCACAGCAGCCTCTGACTGCAATGGTGGGATGCTCTTCCCCTCTGCTGCTGTGACCACATTTGCATTTTCTAGCACGTTGCGATCATCCGTGTCCACATCAGTCAGGTTTCCAGTCTGGAGAGCATCACTGCTGCCTGTGGAAGCTGTCGGTATCTCCTCCCCTTGCACCAGTGCTGTGCAGTTGGTCTCCTTGGCAAGCTCAGGAGTTGGTGGAGGAGACACTGGGGATGGCAGCACTCCCGTTGCATCCTCTTCCTCCCACACACCTCCCTGCAGGGTCTGCAGTGGCTCTGTTGACCCTTGGTTCTCTATCACCTCCTCACGAGATGCACTTTTACTTATGTCCCCCAGTTTCGTGTCGTCCCAGTCAGTTGGCACAGTGTCCACAGGGTGGATGGTGACAGTGCCAGCAGAGGCAGGCAGCTCTTCTTGCATGACACCCGTCCCTGCTTCCAGAGGGAGGGACACCTCGGTTGCTGTGAGGGGATGTTTTGCAGTCATGGACGCTCGCACAACCAAGGACGCCAGAGGGCTCCCTGTGCGGGCTCTCTGCAATCCCACAACAGAGGTCATGCTATGAGCATCAGGAGTTGGGATGACAGGGTGGTCACTTGCCGTTTCCCAGCTGGGAGAACTGGGGTGCTCTGTGGGCTGGGGTGCAGCTGAGGGGTGCGAGCTGATCTCTGCCACCTCCCCAGCTGTGCCAGAAAGGGGGTTTGCTGAGGGGCCGGCAGAGCTGTGCTCTACTTCAACATCACCCTCTGTGGTGGTCTCACTACCAGGGCCACCAACAGCCTCCTCCTGGACAGCAGGGTTCAGGGTGGTCACAGCTGTGGTCAGCATGGCCTTGAATACATCATCCTCATCCAGCTCTGACTTTGTGTGACCAAGCTCCTCCTCATCAACAGCAGCCACTGCAGAGGTGTGGGCACCCTGGCTGCCTGGGATGATGTGGCTTGGGCTTACAGGCAGCATTTCTCCTTCTGCAGTGAAGGCTTCACTGAAGGGTATCCCAGATGGCTTTGCTGATGCTCCAAACAGCTCTTCAGAAACAGTCTGCTCAGAAGGGCCCAGGTTATTTTTTGAGTTCAGCATGCTTGTCCTTTCATCTTCTACCCCGTTCCCTGTCCAGGGGCCACGCTGCACCTTTGTCACATCTGTCTCCTCCAGTTGCTGAGATGCAAGGCATGGCAGACTGGAAGACAAGAGCAGGATGCTGCAGGTGACCACACAGATGTTAAATCCCATTGATCTACTCATAGCTGAGATGTGCCCAGAAGCCTGCAAGGCTGACAAGTCCAGAGTGCAACACCTAGAGAGAGAAAAAGGAACCAAGATTACACACAGCCATAACCACCTGTTGACCTTAAATACCTGGATGACAAGTTCCAAGCACGCTGGTCTATGGCCAGGTCTGAGCAGACCCCTCCTATACATCCCAAGCAATGTATCCCTCCACCTATTTTACTGTTCCTAGTCTACTCAATATGAAGTCTCACACCAGACAAAATCCAACCTTGATCTGAAGCCCAAGACAGACCTTGCCAAGCTCTTGCCCCAGTGGTAGAGCACTATGCTCTACCCAGCAGGCATCAGACTTGCAAGTATATGATGTGAATCAACCCATTTGCCCTTTTGTCCAGGACTCAGGCTTGTCAGGGCCAGTCAGACTGAAGTATCTGGCCTGTTACGTGCCTAGATGGAGAAGGAAACCAAGGAACTTGCACAGAGAATGAGGTGGGTCTGTAAGGCACAACAAAGGACCAGAGACGAAACAGGAGGCTTTAGGGCTGTGTTAGCATCATGTCCTGTGTGAGCCCCTTGGCCCCATGGAGAAAGGCTACAGCCCAGACAGCAGCTCTGCTGCATCAGCACAATGTTTATTGCTGCACTGCACCACGGGGGCACTTCCAGAAAGTTTCTTGTGTTTAATCATTGCATGTTCCCAGAATTTCCAGGGGTGCTGAACCAGAAGGCCAGCAGTGATCCAGCCAGCAGACAGCCTGCTCTTGGCAAGCTCTGCTGCCTCCAGTAATGCAGCTCAGGCTCCTGGACACATGGAACACCTCCAAGCAGCAGCAGCCTGCCCCCAGCCACCTCCCTCCACAAGGTGGAAGCAGACCATCATCCCACACATGGCCCCACTCTTCCACTTGCTGCCCGCAGGACAGTTGGTCACAGGTCTCATGGCCATGGCAAACAGCCTCCATCACACAATCAATCTGTAAGGTCCTCCTCCCAGTTTCAGGGGGCAACTCGCCAGTGGCACAGTCAGGTCCTACCACAAGAAGCCTTCAAGCATCAACCACTTCACCTGCTCTGGCTGGCACTTTCTCAGTTTCATAAGCAAACTGCTTTCACTAATATCCATTATCACGCTGCAACTCAAAGGTAAGGAGGAAGGTCTGGGTTGTCAGAACCACCTCTTGGTCTTCATGGCAGAAGAGGCAAAGGTTACCCCTTGCAGCCTTGCTCATGGCATGAGGATGAGTCCCCCAGCCTGCTAGACTTCCCATTTCACCCAAACAGCATGGAGGTAAATATTGCACTTGTACACATACAGTGCAGCAACAAGCCACATCGTACTGCTTTGTCACACAAGGGAGTACCACTCCTCCATGTCTTCTCATGCAACCGTGATGCTGTGCAAGAGGTCGCGGCTCCCGTGGGGAGACAGATCTCAACCACCACATTTGTGCTAATTCACCTAACTCAACTGTGTGTTGCCACTTATGTACATTTGTCTCCTTTTGTAAAGCATTATTGTACACGTCCAGTCAGCTAAACACAACCAAGACACCAGAAGATTTATATCTGGTCTGGCCACGCAAAGATGTGTATTTCCATTATAAAGCACCTATGTTACTGCACACAGAAGAGAAAGGCTTCTCTAACCAAGACCCTCATGATCTGCAGGGCTGTCTGCAGCACAGAGGACAACCTCAGCATTACCAGCATAGAGAGACATGGGGCAGAGTCAACCACTGCAGGCCCCGTTATCTGGTTGAGCCCTCGGGGCACACAGCATCATTTTTTCCACTCTCCCTGCAGCCCTGGTCCTCAGCAGTTGGAGCTGCTGCAATAATTCCCCATCACAGGCCACACGCATGCACCAGGTGCTCAGGGACAAGCCAATGCCACCAAGAAACTGTTCGCCAGCAACAGCTTAGATACCTCCTACTATTTTCAGCATCTCCTCTCTCTGGAGGATGGGTGGCCTCTCATCTATCTCCTCTACCCTCTCTGCCCAAGAGAAAAACAATTGAAAACAATTGAAAAACAATTGACAGCATTCAGCTATTCTTTGCAGCTGATCCATTATGTGCTTCTGTAATTAAAGAGCACTAAGACTGTATTAGGCAAGTTAAACTGACAGTGCCCAACGACAGGCATCTGTCTTGCCATGATGATGGCAATAAATTATGTTCACCTCACACCCCTTTAGCAAGTGCCAAGTAAGACCTGACATATCGAAACATCAAGAGGTTTGGGGGTTTTTTTTGTTGGTTTGGCTTTTTTTGTTGTGGTGGTTGTTTTTGTGCTTTGTTGTTTGTTTTTTTTTTTAACAGTTTGAATCTAAATACAATTTCTCTAGAAGTCAGAAGTGTTTTTAGGCTGCACAAGTAGTTTTAGCAATGGTTAAACTTTAACCAAAACTCCAGCTGCACTTGAAAGACAGCCACAACATTTCTCTTGCAGCCATATTCATTATGGATACACACACATGTATATACATTCGTAGGTTTCTAGGTTCTCAAATACCCCAAGACATCCAGGAGATGGCTAAGCAGAACTACTGAATCATTAATCTCTCTTCCGAACAAGCTTGCTCCATCTTTACTACAATCAGGACTGTCAGTGAATAAGAGGGAAAGCTGCTCCCTACAAGGCCGGCTTTCAGAGATCCATTAATTAAAACATTTTTTAAAAATTAAGAGCCTTTCCTCCTTCGGGCTAGTAGAGAACGTAGGCAGTAAGTACTGACTGGTACAAGAGCTCCCAGGGTATTTTGGGCAGCCTCGTACAGCTTCCCCACATCTGAAAAGCACCACTGGCCATAGTCCTACATCTGTCAAGGGTGAAAACAACATTGGAGAGTTACTTGCTCAGGAAATCCACAACAGCCAGATCTAAGCTCACCTAGACCTCTGCATTCAATGAAAGCTGGAGATAGTGGCACAGAGCTTGCTGCAGGATAATGGCACAAGTTCACGCTTCAAAGAAGATTAGTCAGAGCTTAAGATCTACTTAGCTTTAGGAAGAGGCTGGATTAAACAGTGTTTGAGCAGCCGTGACCTGGCTATCTTCTTAAACAGTCTGAAACCCTGCTGTAGCACTGCCACCTCATGCAGAAGCGATCCAGGCTTTAGCAGGTAGCTGGCTGCAGAGCACTTTGTTACTCAAGCTGCATTGGGCTATACATTTATCCTCCCATCTGGTTATTTTTATAGTCAGGCTGCTCCACAGCCTTAGCCAAGCTATAAAAAGCTGGAGCGTGCTGCTCTGACCAAGCACTTCCTCTGTAGTAAACTTAAGCTTTCACATTACTAGCTTGAAGCCGTAGAATAACTCGGTATTTCACACCACAGGGACTCCTTGTCCCCAGATTTCACCTGGCATTATCTGAGCCAAAGCCCTGGCCAGGCTCTCTGTGGAAAACTAATCCTTGCTTCAAATCGGAAGCACACACAGAGGGCGAGAAACAACACCAGCTACTTCCCCTGCACTTAATAACAACAGATCCCAAGGGATGCACCTCCCTTAGCAGTGCTGCAGATAGGCAAGGAGCTTCATCTTTAGCACAGGGGAAAAAACCAGTAAGTTTTCTTTTAACACTTGACAGGCTGGAAAGAAGCACAGGACTGGTAGGGTAAAATCAGGTGCCAAAACGGTTATCTCCAGCAGCTGCCCATCAGAATAAGAACCATCTACTACCACAGGCAAGACACCAAGCTGAGGGACAATAAAGACAAATTGGTCCCCAGCTGAAGCAGCCTCACAGACTCAGTTGGATCTTTCTGAACCAGGCTGCTTCCTGGCTCCAAACAATTAGCAATGGCAGTAGCTATTAAACCATTAACCCCCTCCGAATTTGAGAGACCTGTCTGAACAGTCAGCTCTGACAAAAGCCAGCTCAGGAGGAACCCCAGCCTGTCATGGTCACTGCAAGAGGGCAGGCCTCAGGGTGACAAGCACAGAGCAGAGCAGATTTCTCTCATTCAGCGGCTGTTCCTTACACAAATCACACCGCAAAGGATTAAACTCCCTCCTCTGCCCCAGCAGTATGCAGCTAGGACAGCTTTTTAGAGTTTCACCCAGACTGTTTACTTAGTGGCAAAGTGTTTTCTTGGGAATCTTCTCCATTTTCTGCCTTTGGCAAGTTCTGGCTGTGTTCTCTCCAATTTGAAACAGCAAGAACAAAAAACACATTAAGCTTTTAACTCATTTGAAATAATAATCCTGTTCTAACAACCCCTCTCCCACACAGAGAGGGCACTTGTGCTCTGAAGCTGAAGTGGTTGATGCACCATATAGCAGAGAGCACAGGAGATTAACAGCTCAGCTCCACACAAGCCACTGTCCAGCCTTTGCAGAGCACAGATTTTCACACCTCCAAGTACAAGCTCAATGATGCCAGCTTTGACTGGCTGAACAGTCCTGGATGTGCTCGACTCCGCAATTCACCTCTCAACTGATAAGGGAAATGGACAAAAACACTGCAAGTCTTCTCATGTGAGGATTTCATCAAAATATACAAGTCAAGCAACTGCCAGCAATCAAACGGCATGTTACCGGAGCGCTAATGCATGCTATCTAAACCCTATTACTCGTGCCAAATACAAAAGCCAGCAGATAATACACTGCAGAGCTCCAACTCCTACTTTTGCACACAAGTGCCAAGAAAAATGCCTTCGTTTCATCTTGTATTATGACCTTGCCCAGTTCAATCGAGTGAATTGTAGTGCTGATGCTCTCACAGCACAGACTTCAAATAAACAGACCTCAATCCATTAAGCCATTTCCAGCAGCTCCCTGTGAAATCACAACAGTGACAACTCCACATCAGCCACCAAACACAGCCCAAGTACAGCAAAACTACGCAGACACCACCACCCCTCAGAGTGTCACAGCTTCCTCTGCCTTTGAGGACAGACCCTTATATATATTCTGTAAGGGCAGCTTCCTACCCGTCCTAGCAAGGCACCGTAATACGTAATACATCACCTCCACCTCCAGCGCCGGTGTTACAGAATCACAGA